TATTACAGTATTTTTGTGCCGAGTTGTGCTCATTGTGGATAAATGTAACATTTCAACGACGTTCAGCAGAGAAAATGATTGCTAAAAAAAAAACATGCAATTACATAACCTATTGGAAAACAGGATTAAATCACTCATTTTTTTTCAGAGTGATATTGTATTTAAAAATGTGTTAACGCAATTAATAACAATTATTTTGTTATTATTTACAGAGTTCTGACCACACTAATAATTTACCCAGTATAATTCATCAGTGCTGCTCTGCAAGCTACATTATATGAAGAGTTCAAATCTCCATTGAATGGCATTTCCATGTTCACTAGTTTCCTCCCATGATCCAAAAACATGGGTAACATGTGGATTGATGATGCTAAATTGCCTCCAAGAGCAGCATCTGAAGGAAAGCTCAACTAGGCAAATGCAGTAAGACTAAAAAATTAGCTATCCAGTCAGATGTAGAACATAACTTTGAACCAGCCAATCAGATTGCAGGACTGATAATTCAGTGAACCAATTAGATGGCAGAACACAAATTTGTCGGGAGACAATAACATGATTAGTAGTAGTTTAACGTAAAGTCAACATTAAAAGTGTTTGGTGTAATATCTGAGTGGCTAATAAAATCTGATAAACATTTCAAATGTTATCAAATTTTATATTTATTGCAATTAAATAAAACTTACAGCCCTGAGTGACACTCTGAGAATATGCACACATCATAGCTAGGCCCATTAAGACATGCAGAAGAAAAATACACCTTAGATCAGGTCACTAACTGCCAAAGCAATGCATGTCATATTATTCAAGTTTTCATAAACAAAGCCAATAGAAATGCTTCTCATTTTGTGCAATATTATATATATTTATATTACCTTGAAACAAAAATGAGAATATTCACAATGTAGTCAAATGTTAACAATGAAGAAACACTGACCTGAATCTGAATCCTCTTCCTGGTCTTTACTAAAGAAGATGGGTTGAGATTTTTTATCATAGATTTGTTGTTGTATTGTGTTGAATATACAGACTACTTTCAGTCAAAATGAGTTAATTTATGTAGAACGACAATAAAATACAGTGCACTTATTTTCTACACATGGCATATAAAGCACATCATGGCTCATTCTATTTTGAAAGGATGCATTATTTTTCAAATCTGTTTAATGACCAAGTCATATTTATTATCATATTTTTATACTAGCTATCGACAGTCCCTTTAAAAGACATGCATCTTGATTTAGTGCCATTTGCAAGTAATGCAAAAATAATATCAAGACACATAAGACTTTACTCAATATAGTCATTCTAAATTTAGGCCAGGAACATTGGTGAATCAGGACTATTAGAGCTAGACCCTCAGTTCAGGCCATAAATGTCAAAACCAAGAAAAGTAAAGAGCATCAATTCATCTTCTGTGAAAATGTCGTGTTGATGTGTTAAAAATGACAGATGGCATTTTTAGCTCCCAGAAGCCATTTAGCTTACTGTGAAGTACTAGAAGACCCAAAGGTTCCCCTCTGCCTGTGGATAATTTAAGACCTAAATGTCTTTTTAGATTGTCAATGGAGTCACATTAGAGCGCACATTAGATTATTCACTATGTCGTGGTCCAGGACTGGAGGCTCAGAGCCACTGAGTAAGGAATATTTCATTTTTTAGCTCATCATTTTGCATGATATTTAAGACGACACCACTTTCATAGTTATGCCATCTGGACAGTGAAGAAACAATGTTTAATTTAAGGCCTCATGGAACTGTTACATCGGCCTTTGCCTTGGAAGGAATGGAACGTACACATAGTGGTGAAAGAAAGAGTTTCTAATTATGATTATAACATTATTAATACACAGACATGGAGACTCTTGAGTTGTGAAAAAGGTGACAAGTTCAGAAATTTCCATGACTTGTCTTCACAGCTGTTGCTCACAAAAGGTCATCTTAAAGGGGAACTCCACCGATTTAGCAAAATTACTTAATCATTCAATGGTTTGAATGTAAACAAAATCATTCAGAGTGGGCTGGTGTGCAACGGTGTTTATAATATTGGTGTTTATAATATTGAGTGAAATGATTCAAAATTGTTCACCATTATAGAAACTATACTAGCCCGAAGCGTCTGGTGGGTCATTTTACAGAAATGTCCACTTTTCTATCTCTCCATAGGGGTCACTGGTGTTACTGATCCTCATTGCCGTTACACATAATAAAGGTAACACCAGAGACATTTTTAATGAAAAATGCATTTTACAAAATGGCTGCTACAGAGCATCAAACCACATGTTGTCAATCATGGAATATCCACTAAAATATGTAATTTAATCCATTTGTACTATTTTTTCACAATTACCAAAGAATAAAGTCAGTCACACCAGTGACTTCAGCTAAAAGCTTCGTATGAAATTAAAGCTAAATCAGAAAATTTCTGATAACTGAAAGACACAGTGGACTCACCATGTGCTTTTCTTCATAGATCCTCAGAAAACAGGTAAAACAAAGTCAAGTGATGTCATCAGCGTGATTTTTATTTCAAAATAAGAGATTTTGTCACGCAGTAACAGCAGTGACACGACTCCTGGGGAACTTTCATTATATCTTTTATAATATTTATTTGGCATTTGTTTTCTTTATGTCATTTAATTTATATATTCCATAGTCATGTATAGATTATTGAAGTTAAAATTGCAGAAAAATGCATTTACCTCAAAATATGGCCTCAGTCTTTAAACATGACTGTGGGGACAAGTACTTCTGTGGTGCTTGGAATTCCAGATAATTGATTTAAAAAAAACAATATTTCTAAATTGAGGCTCAAGGTGTTTTATTTTAAAATATAAATAAATTGTAACCCTAACATGTTTCTAAAGCGTAATATATCTGTAAACACTAGGGACACAAAAATGGATGTTTCTGTTGAATGACCCTGGTATAAAGCTACCTCCCATTAAGTTATTACACAAAACGTTTATAAATGCATTGCTTGATACCTGAGACATTGTGTTTTGATAGTTTTGTTATAAAGTTTTGGCCTAAAAGGTATTTTTAGTATAAAGTTTTACTCCAGGATTACTTCTGTGTTTCCTCTCAAAACTGTATTCTCAATTGAGATCAATGCGCAAGCTAACGCGCTTTTGTTGTTACTGGCCTGTAGCTGCAGCTGTTCAACACGGCTAACGCCAGCAGCAGCTTTTGTTTACAGTTTATTTTTACAGTTTTCTTACCTATTTTGGAGGATGGCAGAGTATGCAGACGACTTCAAGGAGGTCTGTTTCCAAAATATCATCGAGCCAAATCAATTTGAACCAGAATACACAAATGAGTTGCAGCGGCTTGTTGAAGAGAGAGCCAAAAAAGAGAGGGAGAGAGAGAGAGAATGAACCCGCTGGAGCCGAAGCAGAACAACCCAGGCTGAATGAAAACCGGTGGTGTCAACAATTGTTTGATTGAGTGACAATTGAGTGATGATTGGTTGGCGAGTGAAGTAGCTCATTGGCTGTTTGTGCTCACTGATGTCATGGATGCTCAAACTCAAAGGAGTTCAAATGCATTTAAAAATATAAGAGTGGTGTTAAAATGTTTTATGCTCTTCTGTGTTCAGGATATGCATGTATTCTTTTACATAAAAAATGTTCAAGCATTTATAAACTATGATTTTTCTCAAATGCTCCATATTAACCCATTCATTTTGGACTCGCTCTGGAGCGCCCGCTAACGTCTGAGAAACCCAAAAGACATCACAGAGTGGTAAGTTCTCTGCCACCTCTTCCCTCTTCGCTCTTCGCCAAATCACCATCGCCAAATAGCCAATGTTAGCATTAACAGCTGTTTACTTACCAGTCTAGAAGAAACGTAGCAATTTCAGCATCAAACTTCATCCCTGTACTCACCAAGAGCTGCCTCCAGGGGTGGAAAGTGTTGCCAATGTTAACTCTTGTTTTGCTTCTATTTATGTCACTTCTTTTTCTTTGCTGCCGAAAATGGTTTCTCACTCAGAGCGGGCAGCGGTGGTGATAATGGTGGCTTGCCAAGAACTCCAGCCATTGTTGCGTTTCACTGATGCTACAATGACTCATTATCACCTCTTGAGGTACAAAGGGGTAATAGGAGACAGAACAGGCCGGGGCAAGCTGGTTAGCAAGCTAACTTTAGTAGACAACATGATACAGAGCCATCTTTGACATAATGTCGAACTGTTATTCCTTCACATTGTGTTGAAATTTAAGTTAATTTTGGAATGTTTTAAACTAAAATTCTTGAACCTGTTAAATAAGGTAATTTTTAAGGCATGATTTTTTAAGTAAAGTCAGTTAATTTAAGTTTACAGTGTATGTGCATGTTTCAGATAAATAACTTTTTTTTTATAAAATATGAATAAAAATATCTACTGCACTTAGGGAACAGCATCATTGGTTTCTGGCTGGTCCCATACTTTACCTTGAAATATATATATATATATACTGAAAATACTCATGATATACACATTTTTTTATTAATGTATGAATTTAACATGCTGGAAATATCCACTTTCATGAGTCATTCATTAGATGTTTTGGAAAAATGTTCGTTTTAGTTCCCTCAACATTCAAAAGTCACTCAACCGTGGCACCTGAACACGTTCACCCCATGAAATATCCGGAATATTCCAGTTCCAGTGATAAACTCTATGCTTCAAAATACTCTTTTACTGTAAACCCTGTAAAAAAATCTGCAAAGAAACCCAGATATTGTTTCTGAGATGGGTTTGAACACATTTTTAGGGGTTTAATTAGACACTTGTATAATCTAAGAACAGCTCAACCAGTTTTCACAGAGGTCACTGTAATCACTGAGTAATAAGCCTTAGTATGTAACAAGCCTGGGATTTTAAGGCGTTAAAAAGTATGTTTAATAGTTAAGGGGTCCCAGTGGCTCAATCACTCATTTAAGAGCTTGTACTTTTTTGGCATGTTCAGCTCCGCTCCACACGGGGGCGGTCATCAGTGACTGTGAGGGCGGGGGTCGTGTTGAAGAAGACCGTCTCCTGGACCTCGCTAGCTAGTTGAGCCTGGACGGTAAAAGGCGAAGAGAAACGTCGTTTTTTTTTGTTTTTACAGTCTTTAAATAAGCGTTAAACGCAGAATGGCGCTTCGGCCGCCCTCAGACGATCTGTTCGACTCCATTCTGATGGCGGATGACAGGTAAAGCAAATCTAGCAGCAGTATTTTAACGTTACCACCTCATATTTTAACAGTGAGGATGAGAGCAGGAGAAACTGTAGTTTTCATGATTTCATAAGCTGCAATGAAGTTTAGCTGATCTGTAAAACAAGGCGACACAGTGAAACGCCACAGAGTCTACAGTGTGTCAGCCGTTGAGTTGTTTGTTGAGCTCGCTGTGGTGTAAAATTAGCTTGTGTAAAAAACTCGTAAGGTCTGTTTAATTCGTTTAATTCTCTGTTTAAACGGCCGTCAGACAATTCTGTGGAAGTACATTAACACCACTTAATGAAAAAATCCAGGACCTAATTATTATTTTTTTCATTATTAGTTAGCTGAGTGAATTGCTCTGCCATTATTATGCGATACTAAGTCATTCATTTGAGACTATATTATTATTTTGAGATACTAAATCATTCATTTGAGATGCTAAGTCATTCATTTGAGACTATATTATTATTTTGAGATACTAAATCATTATTTTGAGATACTAAATCATTCATTTGAGATGCTAAGTCATTCATTTGAGCCTATATTAGTATTTTGAGATACTAAATCATTCATTTGAGATGCTAAGTCATTATTTTGAGACTATTTTATTATTTTGAGATACTAAATCATTATTTTGAGATGCTAAGTCATTTTGAGATACTAAATCATTCATTTGAGATGCTAAGTCATTATTTTGAGACGATATTATTATTTTGACATACTAAATCATTAATTTGAGATGCTAAGTCATTATTTTGAGACTATATTATTATTTTGAGATACTAAATCATTATTTTGAGATGCTAAGTCATTATTTTGAGACTATATTATTATTTTAAAATACTAAATCATTATTATGAGATGCTGTCATTATTTTGAGACTATGTTATTATTTTGAGATACTAAATCATTATTTTCAGATGATATTATTTTGAGACACTAAGCAATTATTTTGAGGTGCTGCCTCATTTAATTTGGGATACTGTCTAATATATTTGATAGGTAGTATCTTAAATTAATGGGATAGTATCTCAAATTAATTATTTTTTATTTTGAGAATCGTTCTCATTATTTTGAGATGCTTTTGGGATAAAAATATAAATAAATAAAAAATATGCATAAAAATAATGAGAAACCATCTCAAAATAATGACATAGCATCTCAAATTAATGAGAGAGTATCTCAGACTAATGTGTTAGTATCTAAAAATAATGGCCTAGTATTTTACTGTATAATGGAAAAAAATCATTCGAATTTTTTTATTTTAAGTGTCAGGAACAGGCTTCCATATAATTCAGCTGAGGGAATACGAACCAAAAATCACTCACTGAAATGTTGACACCAAGCTGTTCTGCGTTTGTTGTGGTCGTAGGTTTCATGTTGAAGGCTACCGTGAAGGTTTTGAGGAGGGAACACGGCAAGGAACGATTGAGGGCAGAAACCACGGGAGACTACATGGGGCCAAACTCTCTGCTGAGGTCCACAACAGTACAACATTACAGCCTCACATGGGTGCTTTATTATTAACGCATTCATGTCTAACAGCTAAATATAATATGATAAAGAAAGACGCCTCAGAACTTGTTCTGGTTAGTCTGAAGGAGACACATGGCGACATTCAATACCACAGTATTCACCACTCAATGCTGTTATCGTGGAAACTTTGAAATACCGCTACTGCATTTTAGACAAACAAGTTTCAGTTTCACCAAAGGCAGCGTAGTAGGATTTACTCCAAAACTGCATACTACCATACTAAACATTGTCAAAAGTAGTAAAATAGTTTTAGATGCAGCCAGAGTAAGTTCTACTATGTCGTCAGTTTGTGATCTTATGCTTTATTTAATGTTTGTACAGTTGTTTTAATATTTTATTGGTTTGAGCCTTGAAGGGTTGCAGTTCTGTCCTTTTGTACTTAATAGGCTGTCTAGAGTACCGAGTACCATAGTTTTACCAGCGAGCTTGGAAAAAAAAAATAATAATACATAATGCCCATCAGGACTGTCTAAAACACAGGGTGTATAAAGAGCCATCAGTGGAGACAAAAATCCCCAAAATGTATAACCACCAGCACATTTTATTGCTATTAAAAATGACTTAAACTTTTAACAGCTTCTATTAAATTTCGATTCTTGGTTGCATATAGTGCTAATACTTTTATTGACAAACAAGTTTTTTCTTTTGTTTTCCTGAAAGTCAGTAATACTAGGTTTTAGCCATGTGGTTTAATCAATTATTATTTAATCAACAAGAGAAAATATAGACCAAAGGAAGAGATTCATTTTTTTCCTGTGACCCTAATGAGTGAAAGTGTTTCCGAAGGTTTTATCCATTGTTTCAGGTTTCCTTTTATCATGGTTTTGCAGTCACATGGAAATGTCTTCTCCAAAACAGCGAGGACGTGAAAGCAAGGTAGGCCGTTTGGAAATCATCCAGGAAATGTCTTGTGTGGCGACATTACAGCGTTCCATTCAAGTTCAACTTGAACATTATCGTTCTCCCAGGAAAAGGTTGAAAGCTGTTGAGTCTTTGGCTGGACTGATCCAGATGTTTCCCTATGAAGATCCACAGTATGAGAACCTCCAGGAAGACATGGAAAGAGTGAGGGCCAAGTTTAGACAGGTATAGCAAGACGACGTCTGTCCTTATTTTTACAGTGTGTGGAATAAGAGTAGTTTACATGATGTGTGTTTAATGATGATGAAAGCATTTTTCTGAAAGTTTATCCAGGTGCAGCACTTTTTAACTTTATCATCTTGAAATAGAATCTCCTCTCAGAATGTGACTGTTCTTCCCTGTGTTGATTGATGATTAGTGTTCGTGTCCTCTAAAACTTTAACATACTTGTCATTATGGAGCCTAAGAAAAATAACATTTCTCAATTCCGTAGGTCTGTTCCTTACTGAACGTGGCTGCGGACTTCCGTGAGTACGTCAGTGGATCGGCAGGAATGTCCTTCTGAAAGACTGAAAGACACCTTAAATGTGCCATGGAGGCTCAGAGTTCCCAGAGGTGTTTTCTAATGTTATTGAGAACACTGAAATGGGAATACGCCAGGAACAGTGCTGTCCTGCTTGCGTGAAGAGTTGAGGCTTTATGAGGTGAACACTGGGTTCCTTTTCTTAAACCTCGGGCCTTTGGGTTTGATGTGTAGAAGGGAAAAGCGAAGAAAGTAGTCCAAAAATGAGATGGCAGGTTTTTGAGAGTGCTGTGAAAGGAGCCTACTGCTTGATGGCGAGTGTGTGATTACTTTTACTTGAAATGACAGAAATGCTGTATGCTGAATGCTGTAATTTTAGTCGATATACACCGGTCAGGCATACCTTTATGACCATCTCCTTGTTTCTACACTCAATGTCCATTTTATCAGCTCCACTTGATATATAGGTGCACTTTGTAGTTTCTACAGTTACAGACTGTAGTCCATCTATTTCTCTGCATACTTTGTTACCCCCTTTTACCCTGTTCTTCAGTGGTCAGGACCCCCATGGACCCTCACAGAGCAGTGTGTTGTGCTGGTGCGAGTGGATCAGACACAGCAGTGCTGCTGGAGTTTTTAAACACCTCAGTGTCACTGCTGGACTGAGAATAGTCCATCAACCAAAAATATCCTGTGAGCACTGATGAAGGACTAGAGGATGACCAACACAAACTGTGCAGCAGCAGATGAGCCATCGTCTCTGACTTGACATCTACAAGGTGGACTGACCAGGTACACACACCACCACCACATCAGTGTTACTGCAGTGCTGAGAATGATCCACCACCCAAATAGTACCTGCACTGTGAGGGTCCATGGGGGTCCTGACCACTGAAGAACAGGGTAAAAGGGGGCTAACAAAGTATGCAGAGAAACGATGGACTACAGTCTGTAACTGTAGAACTACAAAGTGCACCTATATAGTAAGTGGAGCTGATAAAATGGACAGTGAGAGTAGAAACAAGGAGGTGGTCATAATGTTATACCTGACTGGTGTATGATATCACACATTTGAATTCACTTTTGGAGTGCAAGTGAACGTAGACACCATCTTGTGGTGAAATAATAGAATAGTGCTCAATTATTTGATGCACGTTGCCCTCTGCTGGAGGAAATGAAAACAACATGAGTATAAATGAAGCAGGGCATTTAAATTCACAAGTCAGTGAGGAATATTTATTGACATTATTTTCGTTTTATTGCTGACTCATTGATGAACTCATTGTCCAGCATTTTATTTATTTATTTATTTATTTTTTTTTAATTGAAGTTTCTCTGAATGGGGAGCCTATATTCATGGACTATATGAAACGTTCCTGAAAATCTGAATGGACCAAATCAAATGAGTAGCAGATGTCATGAAACCTAGAAGGCGTTTTATATAAATATGCCATGTTTGAAATCTTATTCTAATAATTGGTAAGAATGAAGAAGTGGTGACAGTGACTTTGCGGAATTTTAATGTGGTCTTTAGATCCATTCAGTTCACTTGGAGTAAATCCAAGAGCGCGCATTGTGAATAATAGGTGACAAATCCATTGACTACTACCGTAATTATTTGTGAATTACAGCTTGTACCTTGACTAATGGGTGACAATGTGATTTTGCAATAAAGAAGTGAATGCTTTGGTTTTGAGGACCATTTTTGGGTTGTTTTGTTGTTTTTATTCTTCTTTGCAGATTTTGTATTCTGTCCTCATTCTTTGATAAACAGTGCTGTGGGGTAACTTTCAAAGATGTCTTGCGTTTCAGAAGAAGTGCCGCCGCACTAGATAACCTTATCTCTTTTTGTGCCTCATGATATAATCAGAAGGCTTGCATTAGTTTCCCAACCCCCCCCCCACCCACCTCCCAACAAGAGAATGAGTGTGAATTTTATAATGCGAATGCTTACACCTGCTGTTGGCACAAATCCCAGTTACCTTTTGTTAGTTTTGGTTAACCAACCCTGGGCCCCATGAAATTCCTCCGCTGGGTCTCTCTCAATACCATTTCACGGGTGGTCAGCAAAGTCTCCTGACAGATAGCGTTCGGCCCCTCTCCTGGGCCCAGTGTGGGGACGGCCTCTGTGGCCGCAACAATGCGGCAGTGGGGCCCGCGCGAGAGGGCAGGGGCTGTGGGACGCGCTGCTGTTTTGTTCTGCTACCCCCCCCACACCCCCCTGCGTTTTCAGCCGAAGGTGCAGCTCAGGATTCAGCCGGCCGGGAGTTGGCAGGGAATGAGAGGGGTGGTGCTGGAGGTGGCAGCTGGTCTCCGCTCTGGGCAGCAGCAGGTGAACACGGGGGCCCGATGGCGGCACCTTCAGAGCAGTGACAGATAAAACCCTGCTCTTCCCCAAAGGCCTCCAATCAGCCGCTGAGAGACCCTGCCATGACTCCACTCAGCAAGCTACTGTGTGACCTGCCTTTGCGAGTTCATGTATGTAGAATATAGTATGAGATGCATGATAGCTGTCTGTTTGTAGATGTGCTGTCAAAGCTGGTTGTATTCAGATATCTTTAAAGCAATAGTTGAGCCAAAAAACAAATTTTCGTTTTTTTTCCGTTTACCCAAATTGCTGTTGATCTACCAAGTGTCTGAAGTTTGTTTCTTTTGCACTGGAGCTATGAAGCTAATGTAGCTATCAAGCACTGGAAGTTTATAGCTCATCAATTAGCACTTTGCAACCTGCATGTCTAAATCATTACACACTTGCTTCAAACCAGGCCGGATTCTGACACTATATGACATGCAGTTATCTATGGAAATTCACTTAACTATGGACGATATTCACGATGCTACTACAGTGTTTACTTTGGATAAATTTTGGACACCAAACATCTTTTGGCTGACCCATTTGGGGTAAATGAGAAACTTTCGATTGACCATCAGCCATCATTACCAATTCCCATTGCTTTAATAGTGGCTCTGCCTTTTTGCCAAGCGTTTTCATACCTGAACTAAATTGGTTTACATTTGATGTGACAGCAGGCTGTCATTTGAAATGCAACAAATGCATAAAATTACTCAGCATATTTGTGTTATATAGATATTACAGTTCTGCAATAGTCAGAGACCAACCTTCATTTGTTTAATTTAATTAGTCAGACCAGTTGTTAAGTACAAGTTATTCATTTTTCAATGTCAGAAAGAAATAAAAGCAGAAACACATATTAAACTGGATATTACACAGAAGCCTGAACTGCTAAATGTAATATCATATTTGTCAGTATTTTGTGTGTCCAACCTTTGCCTTCACCACATAATTTGGAGTGAATCCAAGAGCAAGCATTGTGAATAATAGGTGACAAATCCATTGACTACCACCAAAATCATTTGTGAATTACCGCTTGTACCTTGACTGATGGGTGACAATGTGATTTTGCAATAAGGAAGTGAATGCTTTGGTTTTGAGGACCATTTATCAGCTGCCATTCATTTTGAGATGCTTTCAGATCTTCAACAAAATCTGCAGGGATATTTTTCCATACTCCCAAAGTTCAGTCATAGATATTGGTTGCATTTTCTGTTTCTCATGATCCATTTAATCCCAAACACATTCAGTGATGATGTCTGGGCTCTGGTGTTTGCCAGTCCAAGAACACTGCTAGCTTCATTTAATTTGCAGTTTGTCTGTTTACTTTTCTCAATAATGGATTCTTGACAGCTCCATGTTCTTGGAAACGTCTCCAAAGTTCAGACATTAGTTGCATTTTCTGCTGATTCGTTGATCTCATTGATCCAAGTAATACTTGTCAGTCCCTAAACCTTACTCCATACCTCAGATGTCCAGTTTCTAGTGCAAGTACCGGCTACTTGAGGTACACACCCTTTCAGACTCATAGCGTTGAGTTGTCTTCTCACAGTGGAAGGATGGACAGAAACACCTGCGGATTCTTTCAGCTCTGAAGCAAGAGTGGAGCTTGATTTTCTCCTCTCTCTCTCAATGATATAATAATTTTGTTGAACTTCAGATCTGGAAACTCTTTGACTTTCCCCTTTCCTCATAAATATGTCCTGGTAAGTAAACTTTTATTTAACGGCCTTAAATAACTGTTTTTAAGCTTGTACTTAAATAAATGATGGGTGGTCTCTGACTTTTGAAGTACTGTATGTAGGCCTAAAAGTTGTCCACCATCAAATTAGCACAACCCAGCATCTGTTTCATTTACCATAGTACATGTATTGATTATGTATGGGACTCTACCAGAAGTAAAGTTTTGTGTGAGTGCGTCTGTGTGACTAATTCAAAATGCAGAACAGTAGAACATGAACATGAGAGGGAGGGGGGATGGAGAAAGAGGGCTGAAAGAAAGCTGGAGGAGCAATGTTTCTTTGGTTTCCTTTCAGCTGGCGGAGCAGAGTGGCTGGGGCCAGCGAGAGGGAGGGAGGCCGAGCAAATGAAGGAGGACGCTGGAAGGTTTCAGAAAATGTTCAGGAATTTCAGGAGCAGGTGGCGAGTGGTGACATGAAAGGAGGACGTGACAAATGCAACCGACGGGCACTCCAGAAAAAAAAGCCCCCTGGCTGAATGGTGGCATAGTATCTCCCTTTTTGCCTTGGTGCCTCATACCCCCCACCCTCGCACACACACATACGCACACGCACAAGCTCCAATCTCAGCATTGAGCCACTCACTTGCCTGCATAGTTCATGATGTGGATGATAAATGCGCAATTCCTATTCACAGCACAGACAAGAAAGGTCCTGCCACTTCATTGGGTTGAAGGGGGGGTGTGAGTGTCTCTGAGGCTGCTCTACTGTTCACTGTCGTTGATTATGCTTATTAAGATATAGATAAAGGCTGCTAGTTTTGTGATAACATTATAATATCTGTTAAAAGCCCAGATGTCTGAGAAAGACATCCAGTTCCATTGACTTATATTGTCTGTTTATGGAATTTGGGATTTGAGAGCAAGTCGAACATTTACATGAAGGCGATTGTATGCACTGTTCTCAACACACAGTACTGTGCAGAAGTCAGAGACCAGTCAAAGAGGCCATTAAGTACAGGTCATTCATTTTTCAGTATAACGAAAAAAGCAAGAATTGTGTATTTAACAGAAAATTGCACAAAAGCCTCCAACACGAAGTATAATATCTAATCCGTATTTAATTTGTCTGCTCTTTACTTTTGTGCACCTACTGCCACTTTAACTCTTCCATCCTTCCAATCTAAAAACCAACCAGTTCCAGCTGTGTCCTCCCAACAAAAACTGGTCCCAAAGGTGTCTCTGACATTATGCATTTAAAATGCCTAAATTGAAATGAAAAGATCTAAAGAAAATGGGACTCCTAACAACTGTGCAAGGGCTGGTAGACCACCAAACTGTCACCATCAGATAAGCAGCACTTAAATCTTTCATCTTTGAGAGATATGAGAAAATCAGCCTCTG